TTTATTTTTATTTATGAAAGTATATATGTATATTTTTATAAATAAAAATATAAATATATTTAAAAATATGAATATTCCTTAACATCTTAAATTGTTTCACTACTTACAGCGATATTATCTTAAAATTATCTAGATGAAATGACTTTAATTTCATCTTTTACTAAAATAAAATTATCTTATTAAAGACATTAATTTACGTGATTTTATCTATATATAGATAATTTTTTAAGTTATCTAAATGCGAATAGTTGTGTGAAATGATTAAGTAGTTGTATTTCTCGGCAGTTTGAAGCTTCAAAATTACCGAGTCGTATCGACTTGGAAAAACATTAAACTGGCTCACCCACGCGACATATCAAGCGGAGGAAAGAACCGCCTTCCGAGACGCTTTCGAATATCTTAGAACACGCATGAGTGTACTTGATCACGCAGCGTGAGATGGCCGTGGCACGCTTACTTATAGTCAACGTTGGCATTGAGAGAAAGCGATTGCTTCGAAATTGCAGTTCCGTTCGATAATTTTAAATAAATGGAAGGCGACTCGAACAAATTATTCAGTCGACTGACTCATCATCAATCTATCGTGATTTTCAAACAGAGCTTAATAATTTTAATACACATAATATATGTACACATAATTGATGTCTTATTTTTTAATTAATGTGTTTATTAATTAATTACTAGATCGCACCACGAAAGAAATTTCGTTTTGTTGACGGTGCCTTTTGTCGAAAACGATATTTCGATATCAGGTTACGCATTCATCAGACTTCTCAACTTTTGTCAAGAGAAATCAAGCATTATATAGAAAATTTTTACCTGTTGAAAGAGGTACCACTTACCATTCCGTCCGCGTGACGAAAAGAACAGAGAGAAAAAGTGAGAGAGGGAGGGAGAGACTCGGGAGGACCCCCGAGTGCGCTCCGTCCCAGGAATGCACCGTCGAGCTATATATCTCGTTTGTTCCGCAGGAGGAAAAGATTTGATCGGACCCACCTCGTTTTGGTAGGTCGTATCGATATATATTTATGTATACGTAATTTTTTTCGAGGTCCTCGAAAAATAGGTTTTGTACGATCTCAAGTTTCCGGAAGCAGCGAGACGCGCAAGACCCGGAGACACTCGAGAGGAGACTCCGCGAGGGAGGCAGAAAGCGCAAGAACAGCTCCTGTTCTCCACGTCACGACACGACGGACCGCACCACATTGCACGGCCGTGCTTCATCCCGACCGCACCTGTGGTCCCGCTTCTCTCCTGGGCCCCTTTGCGGGGCCCAGGTGCCTACCGAGCGAGACCTGCCCCTCCAATTCTCCTCGAGCGGTCAGTCTCGTTCTCTCCGCTTGCTAGTCACGTAGCATCTTCCTTCTCTAATATCACCTCCTTCCGATCTTTCTTTCCTTCTTCCTTGGTTACCGTGGTTGCCCACTTCGCTCACTCCATTTGCTCCGCTTCGCTTCGCACCGTCGTCATTAACAACTCGCGAGGGCTGGCAATGGGAAACCGCAGTTAGAGACGCTCGTTTCGCTTCGACTGTGTAGAGTACATCTCGAACGGAGTTTAATAAAGACTTCAATTATGTCTCTCCCGCTCATTGTCGGAATTAACTCTGGAATTGTTTCATTATGAGCTATTATTATCCTTCTTTTATATTTCATTCTCTCTCTCTCTTTCTCTCTTATAAATTTTTATATATTTTAAAACTTCTGTATAATTTTATAACTTTTTAAAAAATTGCGAGTTTTTTATATGAATTGTGGAACATTTTTCAGAACTGCTACATTTTCTAAAATTTTGCATCTTTTCTAAAATTTTTTGAATATGTAAACTCTGAAATGTCGAAAGATCAAGATTTTCATTTTATAATTTAAGAAAAAATCGGAATAAGTTCAACATATTTTTCAGAAAACTTCATAAATTTAAAATTTTTTTAAATATTATGACGTATGAGAATTCTTTCCACTGAGATTGCAATTAGAGAGATTGCGATTAAAAAATTACCATTTCAATTTTGCTTCATTTTGCTTCTGGAGAACGTTATGTTCAAGAAAAATATCCTCATGTTATGTATGATATTATAACATGATTTTAATATTTATATTAAAGAAAATATTTATATTAAAGAAAAACATACAGAAAAAAGATGTAATAAAAATTAAAAATAAAGTCAAAGTTATGATATAACTTATATATTAGCCATGACTAATTTTAATTACGTAATAATGATAAGAACTCATTTGTAGGTGTACGAGTATATTTTTATTCATGGAAAACTGCATATACTGAATGCAGAATGGAAGTTTGTTCGGGGAATAATTACTTTAATTTCACAATGCACAAAACACAAGTAAATTATAGGTACATATAGTTATCGCGTAGCAAGTGAGAAAAGCATGCTTTACTCCTACACGCATCGACACTAATTCTTTTCCTACAGTACAATTTTACACTTCTAGACACTTATCTCTAATATTTTTATCTTCTCTACGAAATGTCAGACAGCATCTAAAGGTTGTAAAAATGTAATCCACGTTAGAAAATAAACTTGTAAAGTAACGTCGAAAGACATAGAACAGCCCGATCGAGAATGCATGAAAATTAGATGTATGTATTTTTGTGCAAATGTACAAGTACTATTATGCGGAATCGAAGAAATATGTATGATTTTTAATCAACATACGTATTGCTATTACACGCTGTTACACGTCTCGTATTTTTACATACACATGCAATAGTTATACTTGCATTACAACTTTTATATAACATCGATGACATCATTACTAATTTTATTTTTTTTAACGGCGAAATATCCCCTGGTAAAAAAGTTCATAGAGAATGATTGAGAACAATAGGATTTCTACCAATTTGTATCATTTTTTATAAGTTTATATCATTTTCTATTGTCGACCTCGCGAGCGTCACAATCGATCAAACATAAATCCTAAATCGTTTTATCGAATTCTATAAAATTTATATGAGATTTCTATAAGATTTAATTCAAATTAGTGAATTCACGAACTATAAATTCCATATTTAAAATGATAGGATTTTTATATCGTTCTCTATCAATTTTTTTCAGATCGTGTTATGATTTAATATTGAATTTGGTCGATAATGAACTCTATCAGTTCCTAAATATTTTGTTTTACTCATTTGAATTTTCGATTGTAATTACCGAGATGCTTAAAAGAATTTCCAAAAAGTTCAATTCCAATGAAAACTTGACCACTACTCGACCATGTGGAATAAAATTTCCACAAAAATCTTAATTAATAAAGCATATTAAGGATAGCGCATTATATATCGACATTTAAAAATATTAATTTTTATACATCATTGCATGCAAACAATATATATATATATATATATATACTTTAAAAAATATCGGTGTGAATCTCTGGTGTGAATTTAACAACGATGTCTATATAATTCTCATTGTGT